CGGAATGAGCTGAACGGGGGCGCCGCTGTAACAAATTAGCCAGCATGCAAGAGCGGGAAACAGGACGGGACAGGCGGCCGCAGGTGGGGGAGAGGGGTGAGTGCGACTCAGGGGCGGACGGGTCGCGTCCGTGCGTGAGCGGGCGCGGCCACTCCCGCTGGCGGGGACTGCAGCATCAGCCGGGCCGTTGCGCCGGTGGCGGGGCCCAGTACCGGTATCGCAAGTAGACGAGACAGCAAGTCGTTGACGTAGAGCACGAGGTGCAAGGACGGCGGGCCGCGCGCCGCCCAGGTGGGGGCACAGGACAAGGTGTTTTTTCCTTCCTCCCCGGGGGCGCCGCCGAGTCTTCCGTGGCCCGCGGCACCCAGCACCGGCCACTCCTGACATACACGCCCCCTTGTTCTCCATGGGTCCTCAGACACTGTGCTGCATCTGGCTGCTGGCGCCTGCACGCCGCCGCCGCGGCCTCCGCGGGCCACGATCCCAAGCGTGGCCACTCCTGCCCTACAGGCCCCCCTGTTCTCCAGGGGCCTCAGGCAGTGTGCAGCGTGCGTCGCCGCTGTTGCCTTCGCCACGCGCATCTCTGTTGAGCTCATCGCGGGGAAGGGTCGCGTGGGGCTGTCGGCGGTCCGCTGGGCATGCTGCCTGGGTGTTCGCTGCGGCCCCGCTGAGTGCGCTGCCTGGCAAGTGGTTGCTCAACTCTGCGGGCCGCGCGGGTCCCGAGGGTAGGGAGGGGCTGCCTGCTGCCAGGGTCCCGCTGCGGGTCTGAAGCGAGTGCAGCGTCGAGTGTGGCGACGTCGAGTCCTGGTGTTGAGCCAGTGCTGTCGCCGGGGTCGGCGCTCAAACGTCCAACGGCCTTGCCCCGCGGGGGGCAGCCGTGGCACCCTTGTCCTCCTCCTCCCCGTGCGCGGGATCTCCGATGGTCTCGCCCCACGGAGTGCGGCCGCGGCACTCATCTCTTCCTCCGCCTCCTCCGCCTCCTCCTCTTCTTCCTCTCCTTTCCTCACCAAGTCCAGGAGTGCAACTTATCGTTGCAAAGACGGTGGGCTCCCCGACGGCCTCGCCCCGCGGAGGACAGCCGTGGCGCTCATCTCCTCCTCCCCCTCCCCTCCAGGTCCAGGTACGCAACTAATCGTTGCCAATATGGTGGGATATCCAATGGTCTCGCCCCGCGGAGGGCGGCCGCGGCACTCATCTCCTCCTCCGCCTCCTCTTCTTCCTCCTCCTCCTCTTCCTCCTCCTCTTCTTCCTCTCCTTTCCTCATCAGATCCAGGTGTGCAACTAATCGTTGCAATGACGGTGGGATCTCCGACGGCCTCGCCCCGCGGAGGGCAGCCGTGCCACTCATCTCCTCCCCCCTTCCCCTCCAGGTCCAAGTGTGCAACCAATCTTTGCAAAGGCGGTGGGATGAGGCTGAGCCCTCCCCGCGGACATCGTCGCGTCCAGAGTGGGGGGCGTCGTGTCGCAAGGAGGGCAGCCCGGGGCTGGCTCAGCTTCGCCACCCAGTGCTCTCTGGGGAGCGCCATGGCTCGCTGCCGCTGCCAGCCGCTGCCCGCCCTGCTGCCCGCGAGGCGCTCACGCCAGAGCTCGCAGCTCGCGCAAGTGTTGCTCGAAGCTTTGTAGCGGCTGAGCGGTCGCTCGCGCCCGAACTCGCAGCTCGCGCACGTGTTGTTCGAAGTTCTGTAGCGGATGAGCGGTGGGCTCGCCTTCACCACCCACAGCTCCCTCAGCAGCGCCAGAGGCAGCTGCCACTGCTCGTCCTTATCGCAGCTGCTCACCGCGTGCCGGAGTCCGCTGCCACTGCCGGCCCGCCCGTCGTGCAGCCATTGCCGTCCCTTCCCTCCGTGCCGCCATTGCCGCCCCTGCTTCCTCCTCCCACCATGCTGCCACCGCCGTCCGCACCAGCTTCCCTTGCCCGCCCTTCCCCAGCCCGCACTTCTCGCAAGCGCACATCGGGATGCTGTAGTAAATGATGATGGTGGGCTCCAGCTTCAGCCCCGCCGTCTCGCCGAGCAGTGCCAGGGCTGGCTGCTACGTCTCCTCCATGTTCTTCTTGCGCGCGCTGATCGGGGTGGTGTAGCAAGTGATGACTGTGGGGTGCAGCTTCACCACCCACCTCTTGCTGAACAGGGGTAGTGCTGGCTGCCAATGCCCGCCCAGCCACAAGGCCGCCAGTGATGTCCCTCCCTGCGCTCTCGGCTGCTTCTCCGATTTTAAGCCCCAGCCCGACCGCGCGAGACTGCGCGAGGGAAGCACCCACCAGGGCGGCGTCGCTGCCAGCTGCGACGTTCGCCAACGCCGCCTCCGCACGGCGGCGTTGCTCCTGCGTCCCGTACACGCGGACCCCGGCCGCACCGTCTCGGACAGGGACCTCCACGGCGGCGCTCGTTTCCGAGCGCAGCAGCTTGAGGACGGCACCCCGCTCGGCGAGCAGCCGAGTCCGGGCTGCTGGAGACAGTTCGTAGGTCCCCCATCGCGTGTCCCCGCGGCCGCACCGGGAGGTGGTGCACTCGGGGCACCGCACCGCCGCGACGGCGCCGTAGGTGGGCGCCAGGTGGCAGGGGAACCGCCCGAACAGCAGCCGTAGGTGAGGCGCAGCAGCGCCATTGGCTTTCGACAGCACGCTGCCCTGGATCGGCCGCTGGGGCCAGCCGCTCCCGTGGCGCAGGCAGGTTCGCCAGCGCGCCCCACGCCCCGCCGAAACGCCACACGGAGACCTCTGTGCGGCGGACCGCGCGGTTGCCTGGCGGGAGCCTCCAGTTGGCCAGCGTATCCACAAAATAATTGAGGCCTCACTCCCACTGCACTTCGACGCCACCAGCTACCCCTTGCAGCACGCATCTCCGGAGATGTACTTGTGCATTCAGCTCGACGTCGACCCGCACCGTGCGCCCACCCTTGCAACTGCCCGCGCCGGCTGCCCATCCGGCCAGCAAGGGCGCGACGTCGACTGGCTGCGGCGGCGACCCCCAGTGGGCGAATTCGGCCCGGGTGCGAAGCCGCAGACGCTGCAACTATGGAGCCGCAGGAGCGAGGGCGTTCAGCAGCTCCCCCACGAGGCCGAGGTGCGTCGCTGCTGGGAGGCCCACTGCCGTAACGGCTTCCAAGAGCTCAGGGAGGTCCAGCCGAGCCATCCTCTGGCCATCCCGGGACCCGCGCTGGAGCGAACAGAGATACGGTTCATGTACGATGATTTCAAGGGGCTGGACCTCCGCTGCTCGACGCCGTAGCTGCGCCCCCGAGAGCCGTCGTCCATGACGTATCGCTTGACGAGGCGGGGCCCTGGTAAGCAGGCCTCGGCCCGGGCGGCGCTGGCCGCCTCGACGTCAGCTGGCGCGTGGAAGAGGTTGCACGTCCCGGTACGAAACCACGAGCAGCAGGGGCCGTGGCAGCAGGGGGCGGCTCTGCCGACATGGCGCGGCGCATCCGCGACCTGGCCTCCCCCGGCGCCGACGGGCGGAGGCATCGCCCTGCGCGCACGCTCAGCCAGAACTTGCGGGCCTTGGTCACGCCGTCGTCGGAGCCCGCCGTGGCCGCCTCCTCGGCTTCCTCTTGTTCGCCGGTCTCCTTCATTAGGCGCCGCGGCCGCTGGCGTCGCACGATCGCTGGGCGCCTCGACGCCAGGGGCCCCTGCATACGCAGCCCACGCCGCCCATGCCGCACCGGCCATCCAGGCAGCCCAGGCGGCCTCCGGCGCAGATGGCTTCATCCGCGAAGCGCTCGCAGCACCTGCGCGCCAGGCCCGCATGAGGCTGCGGGCGTCCGCGCGGGCTCGCCGCGCGCGCCGAGCAGCGGCCGACTCGCGCCGGCGCTTGGGGCGCGGGCAGCCATCCATGGCCGCCCGTGTGCCGCCGCCCGCCGCCACGCACGCCTGCGCCCCCGCACGTGTGCCCCCGCGGGCTGGCCCAACCGACGTGCGCCCTGTTACAAGTAGGCTACAGCCCAGACGGCAATACAAGTAGGCTACAGCCCAGACGGCAAAAGGCTACGGATGTGATTACAAACGAGCCTACAAGGAAACTGTCTTTCCTCCAGGTTCAGAGCCGTTTCAGTCCGCAGCGACGGCAATCCAGGTCGACGGGCATCGCCACATTGGCCCAGATTGAGCCCAGGGCATAGTAGGGTAGGCCCCGTGCACTGTAGGCCTTCGGTAAGGGCCACACACCTGCTTGTTGGGAGGGTCTGGAAGGGCGTGTGTGTGTGTGTGTGTGTGTGTGCGTGTGTGTGTGTGTGTGTGTGTGCGTGTGCGTGCGTGTGTGTGTGTGTGTGTGTGTGTGTGTGTGTGTGTGTGTGTGTGTGTGTGTAGGGTCATCCTTGGCACACCCAGGCATTCCAGCATACTCTTGAATCTCTGCCGCTCCAACTTGGCTTGCTTGTCTAGTTTCTTGCAGACGTGCGCTGCTGCAGACGTGCGCTGCTGCAGTGCTTTTCCTAGTCGGAGCATAACGCATTTCCCTGCATCACAGAAACGCAACCGCTTCGACACTGATGTTTGCCTAACGTGAAAGGAGGAGGAGGAGGAGGAGGAGGAGGAGGAGGAGGAGGAGGGCTGTAGTGATCGTAGCGGAGGGGGGGAGGGGCGTGCTGGTCGCATAGGAGGGAGGGAGGGAGGGAGGGAGGGAAAGAAGAGGGGCGGAAGGGGGAAGGGGAAAAGGGCGAGTGTCGGAGGGCCAGTTGAGACATCGCCAGCGCGTCTCGCCCCTCACCCTCCTCTCTCGCGCTCCCACCCTCGTTCGGGAGGGCTGCCGATGTCCCAACTGACCCTCTTCTGAGAGCCTGGTCAGATAGGTGGTCCGAACTTTTGCTCGCCCTTTGACGCCGATGTCGATCAAGAGATGGGGCGAAGCTCGGACGCCGTCGAATCAGCGTGCCTTCGGCGTTCGGCCGGCTCGGCCGATCGGTGGCCCTCGGCCTTCGACCAACCCCTGGCCCGCCGCGGTCTTCGGCTGCCTGGCGCGCCCCGCTTCGGAGGGGCCGCCCCGGGCCCCCCGCGGCAGGAGGGCAGGCGCCCCGCCGCTGGCGCAGGGGCCCGCGCCCGCGCGGGCCGGGCCGCCACCGCGGAGAAAACCCGCGCGCGCGCGGAGGGTGTTCGGTTCGGCACGACCCGACTCTGTGCCGAGCCCGCCTCTGATCTACCCTCCAAGGCGTCTTTTTTCCCGGATTGTTCTTGAATGCTCAGTTCTAACGAACACTTCTTGTTGATCCCCCGCCTCCGGTGCACCTTATGCTTTTCCCAACCATCCCGTGGTGTTGGGTCTTTGTTATGAAGTGACAGCGCCCCGCGTCCTTCCTCCTCGCCTCTGCCCTCTGCATGTCCATGAGGGCACTTACAGGGAACTCCACCGAAGGCTCCAGCGGCTGCGTTCGCATGGCACCGCCGCACCCGTTTCGGCACACCTCTCACAACCGTACCCTCGACACTCAGGAATCACGCTGCCGCGCTGGAATTCCCAACGATTAAGCAGGGAATCGGGCTATTGCTCGAGACGTTCTCGCGATTCTACAGGACTGACGCTTCAGCGACCTGCCCGCTCGACGGCGGCCAGCGCCGGGGTCGCGAGCCAGGCGGCGACCACAGTGGCTGGCACCCCGAAGGGGGCCTTCTCCCTTCCGAAAGAGCGGCTCGAGACGCGCTCGCGCCAAAAAGGACTTGAGCACGCCCTCTCTAGCTAATCCAGATTGCCCTTCTTCCCGGAACCCTCCATTCTAAGCTCCCGCAATTTTGCCGCACCGATTGACCAATTTTTCACAGTTGGAATACGCCCACGATGGATCAACATTCCTCATCGTGCAGACCCCTCCGCACTTTCATTTCTTGTGTGGCAGCCTTTGCACGAGAATCCCTTTCGTGGTAATTCTACAAAACAAAGAAATTCGTTGTGGAGGACCAGCAGTGGTCTCCGACATTCGAATCCTTCTGTAGCAGCCTGTACAACGGGATTCCTGCTGTGGCGGCTTTACTCAAGAGTTTCCGTTTCGAGGGGGTTGATCTGCAGTGGCGGCACCTCGAGCCCAGGAAGGATAGAGAGGAAAACAAACATACAAGAAACAAATGACAACCCACATGGAACATAGGAAACAGCTAGGACAACCTATGACCTTCGCCTTTTGTAACAGCCTTTGCACAAGGATTCCTTTTGTGGCGATTTGAGAAAAAGGATCCTAAGAGTGTGGGGGTCTGCAGTGGTTGCCACACTTGGAACCATTGTGTAGCAGCCTGCACAAAGGGATTCCTTCTGTGGTGGCCTTACACAAGGGCTTTCTCTTGTGGGGGGTCTGCGCTGGCGGCACTTTGAGCCCAGGAAAACTACAGAGGAAAACTTAACACAAATATGATAAACCGTATTTTTTGACGCACACAGGCACAACTTAGGACAACTTGTGACTGTCCAGTTGTTATGGTGCAGACGCCACACAGTTGAAATCCGTCTCTTCACAAAAACGAGTCCTTTTGTGGCGATATTGCAGAAAAGGATTCTACCTGGGGGGATCTGTAGTGGTTTCCACACTGAGAATCCTTTGTGTAGCAGCTTGTCCGAAGGGATTCCTTGTGTGGCGGCCTGACAATGGGCTTTACATTATGAGAATCTTGCAGTGGCGGCATCTCGAGCCCAGGAAGGCTAGAAAGGAAATCAGGAACGATATGGTTCGTGTCGCAAATCCGCCACACTTCAAACCCTTTTGTAGAAACCTTTGCACGTGGATTTCCTTTTTTACGATCTTGCGCACAGGATTTCACGTGTGGGGCATCTGCTCCATAAAGATAGCGACAGTCATAGGTTGTCCTAGCTTATTTAATCGCTTCGCTCATTCCGCCGGCCCATATTGGTGCACGGCTGTCGATTGCCTCAGTGATCGGAGTAACTGCGGCTTCAGGGTCTCTTGGGAGGCCCTCGGCGGTCTCTTCGCGGTATTTGTGGGTCCTCCTGGGGCTTCACGGCGCTTCACCGCAATCAGCGTTGTTGGGGTGTCTCGGGAGCCTCTTAGAGGCAGTTTTGAAGCCTCGTGACGGTCTCTTGGGGGGGCTTTCGGCGGGCTCTTGGCGGTATTTGTTGGTCCTCTTGGGGCCTGGGGCCTGACGTTGTTGGTCTTCTTGGGGCCTCACGGGAGCTTATTGGGGCGTCTTGGGGGTGTCTTGGAGAGTCTCTTGGGGTCTCTTTCGGGGTCCTGGGCGCCTTCTGGGGCGGAGGGCTCGATTTCTCAGTTCTCGGTTCCCTTCTTGAGCCCTTCTTGGGCCCGTCTTGGGGCCTCTTGGTCCGCCTTGGGCGGCACTTGGGCCGTCTGGGGGGCGCTCTTGGGCCGCTCCGGGGCCGTCTTGGGAGCCTCGTGGGCCGTCTTGGAGCAGTCTTGAAGGCCTCTTGGGCCCTCTTGGAGCGTCCGGAAGCCAAAAGGCCAGAACGCAAAAAACATAGAAAAACAAATGAAAATCAACGATTTTGGCGACTTGGGGCCCTCTTCGGAGGCCTCTTGTCGTCTTGGAGGCCTCTTGGGCTGTCTTGGGGCCATCTGGGGCGTCTTCGGGCGATCTTTGGCCGTCTCGGGCCTCTCTTGGACCGTCTAGAAAGCTTCTCGGGGCCCTCTTGGACCGATCTGGAGCCCTCGTGGGCTCCGAAACAGAACTCCGGCATCTCTGACCCGACCTTGCCGGGACCTTGCCGCGGCCTTGCCGGGGACTTGCCGGGGACTTGCCGGGGTACTTTTCGTCCGGGGACCCCCAGGGGCCGCCCCGCGCTCGCGAACTAGAAATACTGTTAACCAGGTACCGGAGATCTTAGCACGCCCTGGCGACAATCATAGGTTGTCCTAGCTTATTTTCTATGTGTCCGGGTGAAAGCGTGTCCGTTTTTTCCAGTTGTCGTCTCTAGCTTTCCTGGGCTGCGTGGCGCCATTGCAGCTCCTTTACACTTGAAACCTTTTTTCCAAACCCTCCTTGGTTGGGTATTCGTTTTGAATAGAGTGGTGTGGTCGCGTCCTCCTCCTCCTCCTCCCGCCTCCCGCCTCCTCCTGCCCTCTCTTCGCCGACGATGGGGGCTGCGATCTGCGAAACTGTCGCCACTTTCGAGGGCTGCTGGTGGGTCCTGCGGAGTGAGGCACCGCGCAGATCTGAGCGGGACCTCGCCCGTGCTGGGGGGCTGCGATCTGCGAAACGTCGCCACTTTCGAGGGTGTGGTGGGTCCTGCGGGGTGAGGCACCGCGCAGTTCTGAGCGGACCTCGCCGTGCGTGGGGCTGCGGCTTGCGGAAACTGTCGCCACTTTCGAGGGCTTCTTGTGGGTCCAGCGGAGGGAGGCACCGCGCAGATCTGAGCGGGACCTCGCCGTTCCTGGGGGGCTGCGATCTGCGAAATTGTCGCCACTTTCGAGGGCTGCTGGTGGGTCCAGCGGGGTGAGGCACCGCGCAGATCTGAGCGGGACCTCGTCGTCCCTGGGGGGCTGCGATCTGCGAAGCTGTCGCCACTCTTGAGGGCTGCTGGTGGGTCCTGCGGAGTGAGGCACCGCGCAGATCTGAGCGGGACCTCGCCGTGCCTGGGGGGCTGCGATCTGCGAAACTGGCGCCACTTTCGTGGGCTGCTGGTTGGGTCCTGCGGAATGAGGCACAGCGCAGATCTGAGCGGGTCCTCGCCGTGCCTGGGGGGCTGCGATCTGCGAAGCTGTCGCACTCTTGAGGGTGCTGGTGGTCCAGCGGAGAGAGGCACGCGCAGATCTGAGCGGGACCTCGCCGTTGCCCTCGGGGGTTGCGATCTGCGAATTGTCGCCACTTTCGAGGGCTGCTGGGGGTCCTGCGGAGTGAGGCACCGCTCCGTTCTGAGCGGGACCTCGTCCGTCCCTGCGGGGCTGCGATCTGCGAAACTGTCGCCACTTTCGATGGCTGCTGGTGGGTCCTGCGGAGTGAGGCACCGCGCAGATCTGAGCGGGACCTCGCCGTGCCTGTGGGGCTGCGATTTGGGAAACTGTCGCCACTTTCGAGGGCGGAGCGGAGGGAGGCACCGCGCAGATCTGAGCGGGACCTCGCCGTTCCTGGGGGGCTGCGATCTGCGAAATTGTCGCCACTTTCGAGGGTTGCTGGTGGGTCCAGCGGAGTGAGGCACCGCGCAGATCTGAGCGGGACCTCGCCGTCCCTGAGGGGCTGCGATCTGCGAAGCCACTTTCGAGGGCATCTGGTGGGTCCTGTGGAGTGAGGCACCGCGCAGATCGGAGCGGGACCTCGCCGTGCCTGGTGGGCTGCGATCTGCGCAACTGTCGCCACTCTTGAGGGCTGCTGGTGGGTCCTGCGGAGTGAGGCGCCGCGCATATCTGAGCGGGACCTCGCCGTGCTTGGGGGGCTGCGATCTGCGATTTTGTCGCCATTTGCGAGGGCTGCTGGTGGGTCCTGCGAGTGAGGCTCCCGCGCAGATCTGATCGGGACCTCGCCGTGCCTGGGGGGCTGCGATCTGCGGAACTGTCGCCACTTTCGAGGGCTGCTGGTGGGTTCCCGCGGAGTGAGGCACCGCGCAGATCTGAGCGGGACCTCGCGTGCGGGGGGCTGCCTGCGAACTGTCGCCACGGGCGAGGGCTGCTGCCCGCGGAGCGATCAGGCGAAACTTGTGAAACTTGTACTAGCGCCACTTTCGAGGGCTGCTGGTGGGTCCAGCGGAGTGAGGCACCGCGCGGATCTGAGCGGGACCTCGCCGTCCCTGGGTTTCTGCGATCTGCGAAACTGGCGCCACTTTCGAGGGCTGCTGGTGGGTCCAGCGGAGTGAGGCACCGCGCGGATCTGAGCGGGACCTCGCCGTCCCTGGGTTTCTGCGATCTGCGAAACTGGCGCCACTTTCGAGGGCTGCTGGTGGGTCCAGCGGAGTGAGGCACCGCGCGGATCTGAGCGGGACCTCGCCGTCCCTGGGTTTCTGCGATCTGCGAAACTGGCGCCACTTTCGATGGCTGCTGGCGGGTCCAGCGGAGTGAGGCACCACGCAGATCTGAGCCGGACTTCGCCAATCCTGGGGGGCTGCGAGCCTCACGAATGCCGCTCGCAGAAGTATATGCGCCCATGTTACGTCATGACCTTTGTACAACGTGTCCCAGGCTACTCGTGCCCCGCATTGCGCAGGGTTTGGGTATATCGCCAGGGTAATTCCCAACCATCCTGTGGTGTTGGGTCCTTGTTTTGAAGAGTCGGCGCCCCGCGTTCTCCTCCTG